ATCCAGCCAATTGGGCAGACCATTCAGTACATCCTCTAGTTTCAGCTGGCATCCCTTTCTCAGTGCTTGTACCTGCAAACAATTACAAATCAATCATCAGTTCAAAATGAAACGAAGTGATTTACGTGTCCATGAAGGCAAAAACCTTCTGGTACATCAAGCTTTCCGGTTAACTTAGTCTAGACAATCCCCATTCCGTTTAGGCTTCCACTTGAACCTGAGGTAAACTTCCCAACTATCAGGGTAACCTCCCAACTAGCAGGGTAACTTCCCAACTAGCACGGCAGGCTTCAGGGTAAAAGTTCCTAGGTCAGGCACCTCAAAATCATGCATGCCCCAGCCATCCGCCAGCCACGAAATAACAACAACGCTCTCACCAACCTCTTCATGCGTGGCCTTCTCAGAATCCGAATCGTCCGAGCTCGATTCACCGCCCTCACTATCGCCACCGTCATCCTCGTCATCGAATCCGATGAAATTCTTACGTTTCGCGGCCGTATGCATCGGGTGGTACATGTTGAAGTATAATTTCCAGCCGCACAGCACCAGCACTGTGCCGAGTGTTTTACGTGGATTGATACTCTTCAATCGTTCGTACATCGATGACGAAGAGCCGCTGCCGGTTCCTGAAGTTAACTTCCACTCTACTATCGCTATTTCTTCATAGACTTTATCAAAATTCACCATCTACCTGAAGTAAAATTTCAAAAAACCGCCAGGTAATTTTCTGCTTTAGGTTGGTAAAATCAAAACCGCCCGGAAACCATCACTAGCTCAAACCAGAGAGCGCAGAAAAATCCAGCCGAATCAACTCGACGTCGCATATTTAGATAGATCTGCTAGAGATCCGGATAGAATTTTAACATTTCCACTACTTTTGCTGATAACCGGCGCCACCGTGTCTGTAATCACATATACTCGTGTGCTCACATACGCTCCACACACACATAAGTCAAAGCCAAATCGTTATCCATATCACATCGCTAATCGTAAGTCTAATCTTAAGCACACTCCTGATTTCACTTCGAATTGCATTCATACAAAACATCCGGCAAAACACACGTTAATCTAAGCACATGCGCACGGTGGCGCCCGTTATCCGCAAAAGTGCCCATTTCTCTATCAATACACACCATCACCTACCCTGCAGCTTCACATCGGATGTCTGATCCTCGTCCTCAAGCACAGTCGTGGCTCGTTCCTCATCCGCACTCTCCATCGGTATCGTATACTCCAACAGCTTTCTAAACCACTGCAGATTCTTCTCCACCATCAAATAACCAAACGAAAATGTTTTATTGCTGAAATAAATCAAATTTTTTTAAAATCATCCGATTACGACCAATTTCAACAACATCAACAAATTAAATCCACTCTAAACGTTTAAAAAATTCGTCGTCACAAACTGAAATCGATGAATCTTCCAAAAAAGTTATCGCTGCGCAATTCACACCGCTTTCTATCAGAGTCATCAAATACACTATAAACTTCTATGCTTAAACATCCATATCGATCAGATCGATTACCTAATTATTACTGAATGATCCGAGTATCTGATCACTTCATTCACCTGATCAACTTTTTTAACGGATCATTTGCATCAAAATTTTTCGAATGTTTTCCAGTTATTTCCTCTCCCATCGACTAATTTATATCATACAGATGATCATCGACTAAAAAACCACCAAAGTCGCCGTTTTCCTCCCAAATAGTTCTTTAATTCTGATAGTATTTATTTGCTTGATTCTGGTAGTATTTATTTTCCTCTTTCACTATTTTTGACTCTAAATTTTCTTGACTCTAAAAATCAAATAACACGTTTACTTGTCGAATTATTTCAAAAATTTTATAAGAATATTACTCAAAAAGAAAAGAAATACAACTAAATTCATCAGCGCAATACCAAATCAAATGTTAAACAAGCAATTCGAGAACGCAATCCCAAATGCCATCAAATAAACGAAAAATGGAAGACAAAACAATGAAACAAACTTTCTAAACGGCCAAATACATCTGGCGAATTGCGGTATGAGAATGTCTTTGGATTGCTCGTCAACGAGCACCACAATCGAACGACAACCCGGTTTCAGCAACCGAATCATACCGAAATAGGTTTCGGCACGAAGTTCATGCATCATCGGTATCATCTCGTGCATGATCCTGCAATGCATCGCACATTACCTGGATTACCTGGATTGGCAAGCA